TATGGAAATTTTTGCAATTTAACCAATCAAAATGCTGCATTTTTAGTTTAACTAGAGGTTTAACTTTAACCAACGATTGAAAAACCGGCCCTAAATGTCACAAATAAAAAAAGTTTTACTTTTTAGCTATGAAGTAAAAATTTTATTTTTGCGCCCAAGCGGTTTTACTTTTAACATGATAGTCTATTTAGCAATGTTTGTTTCTTTCGCTGCTTCAACAATTTCTGGAGAGGAACATTGTAGATCATTAGTATTCAACATTTTGCACTACCAACTGCACTAGTCATGCACTAGTTATTAATAAACACTTTCAAAAATTTAAACACAAATTCCGATATTAACACGTGAAGTTTATTTATAAGTTTATGATTTTATTACTTACAGAGCGTCCTGATTATTTTGTTTTTTTACTTACTAATTATAGTGTTGCTCTTTACTCTCGATTTGAATATATTTGCAGATAAAATAATATACGCTATTTGGAGTTTATGTGGCTTAGTTGAATTATTTACCTCACTACGTTCGGCAAAACAAACATTAAGCTTCGCCAAACAAACTATCATTTTCACTCCTAACAACATAATAATCTGTTTACTTGGAGTCATATAACTAAAACTAATTTAGTCGTGAAAACAGATTTTATTATTTATTAAATACATACTCGTAGAACATAATTTTTTATTGATTTAATATGTAAAGTGTTACCTAATTTTCGTATTAGGATAACTATAGACAAATTTTTATTCTATGAGATTTTAATTTTCTAAGAAAACTATGGATTACCCTGTTTAATTTTAATAAATATATAGTTTAGGTATTTGAGGAAAAAAGCAGGCGTTTGATCCAAATTGTTAGGTACTTACAATATTCGCAGTGAAATAGTTTTTTCATTGAAACAAATTTCACTGAAACCAAGGTCTTCAAGCTTTGTTTGATTTTAATTTAACAACATACATGACAAAAAAATCATCGGATCTGGCATAAATTACGGCGTATCAAACTAAAATCGTTTCACGTTTTCACTTTCATTAAAATTAAAATAATGGACATGTAAAATTATTTTTTTACAAAAGTAAAATAAATGCATGAACAGATTGACTATTAAAGCGACTCTCTGGAATATTTATCATGACCCTTTACTATTAGTGGAATGCATTAGCTAAATTAAAGATAATTTTGCTGCTGCTATCCGGCGTAAAGAAAGCTATTTTAAATGATGGGAAATGATGAGACGATGGTCTGGGTGCGGTTGGGCTATCACAACTCTCTTCCATACAACCGCCATTCTGATCCGCACCCCACGTGTTAACATGATAAGCGGCGAACAACGTGGTGTTACCCTAATTGATTATTATCCTTTAGAATGGTCCGCACCCAGATTATACGGTGGGCCATTTTTCTTCAGAATGTCTAATGGGAAAATAATTTCTTTCCTTTGCTTGGTTGTTTTTTGTTTTGAATTTACAAAATACCTACAGCAAATTTTTTTTTAAAGACAGGTTTGAAGAATTAAAATGCTCAATTATCTTGCATTGAATGTTTAATTTTAACAAACTATAAAACGAAAACCATAGTTTTCAAGAAAAATAAATAAAAAAAACATTGTAGCAATTAGGTAATTTGAATTTTTTTCTCTAAATTACTGACACATAAGCGTTACTTAACAATAAAATTTATAGCAGGAGTAAGTACTTGACTATTCAAGTTTTTACTAGTATTATCCCATACGATCCTATAACTTGTGTAACAATGGCATTCTCCTATTTTACTTTTACTTTCGCGTAAATCTTCAACTCAAACTTGCGTGTATCACGAAACGCAGTTCAATGCAAATTAATCAGAAACGCCTTTTACTAATTGGTTATTTCTCAGGTTTATGGTATTCAAACAACATTGTCGCCCTCGAAATTACAAGCCTTGATGTTCCGAAAAGTGCCTGGGATCCGGTCAAATTAAACTGCAAATATGATTTATTAGAAGGCGAGACTTTATATGGTGTGAAATGGTACAAGGACCAAAGTGAATTCTTCAGATGTTTCGCGAATGGAACAGTTCAAGAATTTCCCAGGAGTGATATCAAAATATATCATACAGGCAGATCTCAAACTGGATCTTGTTTTTTTGAACTCACCGCAATTAGTCCAAAAAGTGGAGGTGAATACAAATGTGAAGTTAGTTTAGAATGGCCCACTTTTCAAACAGTAGCGCAAACTGCAAGGCTGAATATTATTGAACCATCCAGAATTGTTCAGTCGGAGGTTGACACAACGGAAGGTTTGTTTATATTAAAAATTAAATAATTAGGAATTAACCAATTTAAATTTTTGCAGACGTTGTCAGTTTATCAGTTGAGAAGAGCAAAGGTAATTTACAAGAATTTGTAAATAATACTTCTAATAATTAGAAATGTTGTTTTTTTTTTGTTTTAGGTTCTAGGTGGTTATCTTCTTCCTTAAATATACTTTTTTATATAATTTATACATGTGTTAATAAATAAAATAAGAAAAACATAATTTTTTTTTTCTAATTAGAACCCTTCTTCCACAGAATAAGCAGATTTTTCAAACCAGTATAATTGGTTGCATAACCTAGTTCTAGTAGTTTTTTATTTCATTATTAGTCATAGGTTGGTACTAAAAATTGTACAAAATTTGACGTTTACATAACCTAAAATTTTAATAACTTTTCACGAAGAATTAGCTTAACTGGGCTTTCAAAATGTGTAGTTTAATTCGAAGCACACGAAATCTTATAAAGCCTCAATTTCACTGTGCTTGTTACTCAGCTTTGAAGCAGCCAAAGCCGGAAGAACCAGACGAGACGTTATCGAAGCCTGTGGAGCCCCCAAAGCAAGCAGATAACAAACCGGCAGTAACTGAACAAAAGTATGATTCCAAACTGGTTACTAAAGAAGATATGAAGTGGCGTACTCCATGGCATCAAAGGGAAGCGAGTTTTTACAGTACTTTGAGGACATTTTATTCAGAGCATAATCAAAATGACTTACTTAAACTTCTGCAAACTCCTATCAACTTAACCCCTTCTGCAATTAAGAAATGGTGGACTGAAAAAAAGGAATTCAAAGAAATGATGCTGCAGTCGTATATTCCTGAAAGAAATCAAACATTGGGTAATGAGTTGGCTGCTGCTCATTTTATAGTGCATAGAGGAGGGGCTGTCAAGTTTTACAACGAGGACTGGTGGATAAAAGCTAACAAATATAATGAATACAAATTGCCGAGGTTTTATCAGGAGGATAAAGTGCTGCAAGCTATTGATTGTACTGATATGAATTTGTTTTATGAAGGATTAGTTAATTTAAAGGATTTGAAACAAGTTGAGTGGTTGAGATTTAGTGGTGTTGAAAAATTTGACGATTGGTATTTGGATAGGATTAGCAATATGTTCAGACATAGCTTAGTATATTTAGATATACGGGATTGTCCAAATTATACAGAAAGGGGCTTAGGTGCTTTACATAGAATGGAAAAACTAAAGATTTTGTGTATTGATGATATGTTAATGACTGAGTCGTTTGAAATGACATGTTTGTTGTTGCAAGAAGTTAATCCAGACTTGGATATAAAAATTGGTGATTTTGAATAAATTATACAAATTTCTAGTTTTAGTTAAGCGATAAACCTTTGTATAAATAAATATTTGTGAATATAGCTATGAGTTTTCTTTTATTAGATTATTAGTAGATTATTGAATTGAATCTTCAAGAATTGGAATAAAGTTTGTCTGGGTATGTTACCAGCAATACAACCGTCCGTACAGGGTGATTCACGAGAAATACGCTCTATTAGTGTGACGTCAGCAAGGTACCTCACTGTACCTTTGAAGCTAAACAAATAAAAATTTATTTCTTGAATCCTGGACGTGTAGGGAGATTGTTTCTAAGGAAATAGTTGCTATGAAAAATGTGTGTCGTTTCGTAATGGTTTTAACAATTGTAGTCAACATTTCTGTAGTTTAATCTGTTCTAACCTCACTTTCTGTGTACGTCAAAAATATGTGTACAGCGTTGCCAGAATGTTGCAAACGACAGGAGTGGATAGGTCGTACCAAAACAAAACAAAATAAAATATATTAACATGCACATAATGTGTATTTGGCTGAGAATATAAATTATTATTTGTTTACAAGTAAATATAAATATCTAGTAAAAATATCTAGTATCAATTTGGTACTCCAGTATCACAACTGGCAACACTGTATGTTTAGCTTCAGTACAATCGCGTCTGTGACGTCACCTCTAATAGCCCGTATAATGAGCCTGACCAAAATGTCGATGCAACCAACATTACAGTTGTCGCAAAATAACTTGCGAAAAGTAATGGTGGTTGCATCGAGAATTTGGTTAGGCTCATCATTCCTCGTGAATCACCTTGTATTTACGATTGCAAACATTAAATCAAGTTATTAATTTAATAGGCACCCTGTTCTAAAAACCAGCAAAAATGTCTTAAAAAACTTAATGTTAGTCAAAAATGGCTCAGGAAATAGTAACTGCAAAAAAACATGTTAAAGATGTATGTATAAACAGTGAATTTTACTTTTTTAGTAAATTTTATGTTTTTTGGTTTTGAAGTAAAGGGTAAGCCAGCACAATTTTTGATGGGCCATTGCTAAGGCATAGATTAACCAGTTAATCTATGTGGCAACCGTTTTGATTTAGCCAGAACATGTTTTAGGTTTTTATTGTTTTGTCCTGTATTACGTTTATGTTCTGATTTGTCCCGATTTAAAAGACGAACACAACTAAATGTGCAAATTTTTGAGATTTTCATTTGCAGCGAAAACAAGTAAGTATCTTTGAAGTAAAAGTTTTCTTTTTGTCGTCATTTCAAATCTGGTCATTGTGAAAAAACTCAATTGAAAGTAGAAATACTTAAAAATTGCTTATAATGACCAAATTAACTATAAATTTGGCTTAAATAGATTTTTTTTAATGTTCGTATAAAATAAAAGAACTCTCAAAGCAATTCATACAAAAAAAAATTATGCAGATAGGTACCTACGTAGTAAGATCCATTTTTTTTGTGTTCTGGAATAAATTTATTAGAATTATTTTTAGTAATGTCCTGATTTTAAATGGCTCACTCAGATCCTCCTTTAGTTATGTGCTGAACATAACGGCGTAATAGTATATTATAAAGTATCAAGAACGGTAAAGACATTTTACCGAGCGAAGACAATTGTTTGTCTGTAAGTCCTTACCGTTCGTGATGCTTTTGACATTTTTTGATGATTGTTTTTGTTTTTTTTTAATAAAATATTAAAAAATGTTCTAGAACGGCAAAGCATTTTGCCGTTCTAGAACATTTTTGAATGCTTACCGACTTAGCAACAATAAATAAAATACTTACCGACGAGTTTGGGATAGCAACGAGTAAATACAAGCTTCTGTCTTTGAAACAGACGTGGTAAACAATCAAATAGAGCTCGGTCGCGCAAAAAATAATGTAATTGGGACAAAAATTACTTGTCTTTAATAATAATGACAATTTGTTGATTAATGTCATTGTTATTCTTTACACGTTATAAGTTTCATAAGAATATATTATTTTAATAATTCAGAGCGATAAAGCTGGAGTTTTCTAAAAATGAAGTCACAGAAAAACGGTCCTATATTTTTCAATTGAGATGGGTTTCCTAAAAGACGGTAAACACCACAATAACATTTTTTAACAACATAATGCAAAACGTGTTCATCGTTTTTGGTTCGCCATTCACTACGACCGTACCTACCTAACATTTCGGCACCGCTTTTTTGGGGAACCTTATAGCTTAGCCATTGATTTAAAAAAAACTTTAAATAAAAATACGTTCATAAAATGTTTATAATTTAATCCAAAATGTGATGAAAATAAAACTTTCTCCTACTATTTACTTAAAATGAAACATGCGCCATGAGTTTTAATTATCTGTCATCTTAACAAGTGAATTAAACAAACACATATGCAAAATATTTGTCAAAACATTTTTGGATTGTTTTTTAATGAACACACGTTATAATTATGTATTAGGCATAGGTATGTAAAATAATAACACAGAGTGATTTTTTTATTAACTAATTAAGTTCCATGACTAAGTGTTAGCAGTCTTTAAGTTATTGGCTGTGATGTTTCTAGTTACCAAACTTATATCATACCAATCTATTTGTGACAGACGTAATTAAACGAAGGAAAATTGTGAATTTTGAATTTACAAGGCTGTCATTTTTGTATGTACCAGTTTTATCGACTGTATACTGTACATGTTTCTAGTCTATTTATTTCACAGCAAATTTATCCTCTTGTTCTTTGAATTTTTCATTTGCAGTGCAGCTTATACCACACTGACTCAATACCTACAAGTATTTAGGCGATTTTTTATTTTCTTTAAAGCGATGTTGGTTAGCAAATATTTGAAAACAACTTAGTACCTATCTATTATTTCATTTTTTCCTTAGAATATTCTGATATATATTGTGTAAATATTTGCAATAAATATTTTACTAGCAGTCTTTGGCATTTAATACACACCAACAAAGAGAAAAACACCGCCAACAAAGTTTATTGACTTAAATTAAAAAATACAAGAACAAGGTAACAATGCAAATGTACGTTTCTATTTACATAAAAATTAAATGAAATTTGCATCACACGGCGAATTATTATTACAACTGCATCTCACTCAACAATAAAACTGTCGATTAGACTAACTAAAAGTGCGTAATTTCCTCCAAGACAGGATACCGATTAGAAAATTCCTTTTTGTCTTTTCAACACTTGACTCAATGAGTCATCTTTCGACTACCAGCATTATCATTATCACTTTATCGCTGTTATATTATCAAGTACATACATGCTGATAATTTTCATAGTTTTATATCAGTTTCGGATTAATAAACATCATTAAGTTTTCTTATTTTTATTCAATAAATAAATTAATTAATAATAAACAAACATTCCCCGGAACTGAATAAACAGTCGAGTGGGGATTGGCGGGCACGTTCGGTGTGCAACAGGTGATTGTCAGTCGCCGGTAAACATCGTGAGTGTAGGTTTGCTGTCTTCTCTTCGATTAACACATGCTGGTTTCTTCAGCTGATCTTCATAAGCGACAATTGCGTTAAAGCCCATTCGAGTTGCATTTTTTTTTGATCTAGTGACCTGTGCATGTGTCATTTGTTTCATTTGTGTTGTGATTTGATCTAGTGTGCCGGATTGGTGTATGATGAAACTGAAAGGATTAATTTGGGCTTAAACGTGAGTAAACTCAATCTCTTATTGTTTTATTACTCATTGATACTTTTTGATAAGTGGCAAGTAATGAATTGTAAAACTTTTTGATTGACAGTTTGGTTTTGGAACCGCAAGGTGCAATAAAATGTGGGGATTATTGCTATACCCAATTATTTATTTGGCAACATTTTACAACTTTGCTCTTAAGGCAATCATCTCAAACGCCTACGCCCCGTTAGTAGAATCTTGGAGTATATGGCAAGGGTCACACTGGGTCAAATTAAATTTTTTTTTGCAAAACGAACGAGGGGTGGTCAAACAAAATAAATTGATAATATGATAAATAATAATGGTCGACTTTCGATTCAATTGATTCCCAGAAAATGATTTGAAGCGGTTTTAACTTTTCTTACACTCCAAACTTTTTTTTAACAAAGTGGATTTTAACTTTTTGGATTTTTGAAAATCATTGATGAAGTACAACATTTTTCATATACATGTTTATATTTTTCTTGCTTTATAATCAAATGTTGGAACTTTTTTTTTTCATTAAACTTATTTAACTGTAGTCGTAATTTGCAAGCATTTTTAATTGAAGTCAGGAAATTAATGTTTTATGTTCTACAAATGGAATTTATTTAATAATAATCCATTGAGTTTCTAATAAAAGGAATCCATAATTAGTTTTTAAATTTTATTTTTCATAAAACGTCACATTTTTGTAGTACTTTATTATTTATCAGTTAGTTTTTTCAAAAAATAAATACATAGTTTAATCAAAAAACGTTTGGTTATGGAACCACCTGATTGTTTAGGCGCTTTTTTATTGTAGACAGTACCTACTTTTCTCTCTCTCCACCCCACTTGTAAGAAGATTAATTAATTAATTAATTAATTAATTTAGTAATATTTTTTTGGAAGACTTATTATAATAATGTATTAATAAATAAGTGCTTAATTTAATTATACATTTCCGATGTAGATATTTAATAATTACGTAAGTCGCAATACTGAAATGCAAAATATGTACAAGGAAGAAATAAACGTTTTTCATTAAATATTAATAAAAGAAATTATTTTATGGCTACGTTTTTTCAAACCGGATGATCTCGCAACTACAACAAAAGTTCAAATATTTACGTTTGATAATGCCGCTCTACAAAAAAATAAACATTGCAACTACTTATTAAAATAACTTTCACTGAAAAATACCGCACCGGTATTGTAAGCCGGCTTGTTTTGATAAATTTATATTTTTCGTTACATAATGTTTTGTTTTGCAATAAGTTGTTAAACACAATCTTAATATCAAAATGATTTTAAAATGTTTTTAACATTTAATATATAATAATAATTGTTTGTGAAAGGAATCCGCAAGATTTGGTTCGGATATTCCAAATTATTAAAATAAAAACTTGTTGGATTATGCAATTAATTCA